GACGAATACGCACTAGTGCCCGTAAAACATATTGGCAAACACGGCCATATCAGCAATAGGGGCACCGTCACCCCCGCTTCCACTCGCCGGCGTGCTGGTGTGAATAAAAGAAAAAAGCAGAAAGGGAAGAAGCAGCCGAAAAATGGGAGGAGGAAGAAGAAAAAACAGCACCCGGAAAAGAGAAACCGGCATAAGCGGAAGGGGAAGGCGAAATCTGATGGAAGTAAAGTGAGAGTGCTAGCGGAAGGAGACGACGACGACCCCGAAAAGATGTTAATCTAGTTGAGAATAATATCTTTGTGTATGTTGTGTTTTAACTATTTTTTTCTCGAACGAAATAAATTCGACCTGCCAAACACAAACGACTAAATCAGTCAAATTAATTTTATTCAACATGTCAACAACATGTCAGCGACTACCAACAACATCATCATCATCGTCATCATTGTTGTCTGCATCAAAAAAGCGTTATTCATCAGAGTCGATAACTAAAGTCTTAACAGAGTTATCGTCGTTATCGTCGTCTGCGCATTTATCAGAATCTTCACTTGTACCGCCATCAACAACACCAACACCAACATTAGCACCGCACTCACTTTCACGATTTTTGCTGGTACAAATTAATTTTTTTGCTTGGTTATTAGAAAAAGAATTAGCTCTCTTACGTGCCGCGGCGGCGCCCGTGCGGCTTTTACCGCCTTTTTGCGTGTTCTTGTTAGTGCTGCTGCTGCTGCTGATTTTCTGAAACGGATGAGCGGTTACTGTTGTTGTTCTCCGTCGAGATGATGCTGATGATGATCGTGGCTTTACGGCTACGGGTCGCAGATGCATATTGGAATTTTCCCACTCGCTGACGCGCCCCATCAGGTCTTTAATTGCTGTCATAAATTCCGGTAGATAGTTTACGGAGAAGTAGAATCCGCAACGGGTGGCTACGTAGTTATCATCCTGAGGAATGTACTTTATCAGGCGAAGATCGATTCGGGGCTCGTTTGGCTGGTACAGGCTTAAACTGAGCATGATTGATGTGGGTTTGTGCTGCAAGCAAATACTGTCACAATCTGATTTTATTGGCAATTTTAATATAATTTCGTATAATACAGTTTAAAACTTGAGGGTAGCCGGCATGCTGCTGTTGCTGCTGTGCGCTAGTGTTACTTCTGTTACTGCCGCTGATATATTCTACAGGAAATAAGATAATGTCAAGGCGTGTCGCTCCCGCCTGAAATGTTGAAGGAAGAGCCGTGATATTCATTTGGTAGGCCGGAATGGGTGGTGGGGGTGGTCGTGCAGCTATGGCAACATCGTTTCCGTCACCACATGTACCACCACTCCGGCTTCTCCTGACACAGGTGAGGATTTCCCCAATAAATTTATTAAGATCAAGCGCGCCGCGAATAAGGATTGCCCGTGAGCTTTTTAGCAGCGGCAGCGTGTCATTAATAAACCGACTTATTACGACACCTTTTTCATTCAACAGGGCTGTTGTCCGGTTTGCAAACCTGATAGTGGCAACCTGATTACGCGAGACTATGCAAATTGTCGTCACTTGAGCGACAAGAATAATTAGCAGAGCAGCTTCGCGATTGTACTGACGCCAGTATGTTATGAGATACTCATGCAAAGTCATTTTCTTAAATTTCCATGTACTTCCGAAAGTCTCTGCAGCTACTAAGTGAAGACCGGGTATTCTTGCACTTAAGTACACGCGCTCCTTCGCGGTATTTACATGCACTTACAATTAAAATAAAGGGGCTGTTCCTAACAAGTCCAGCATATTCCGTATCTGCGGCATTATTCGCAGTGTAAACTTCTACATTAAGCTTGCGAGCCATGGCGAATTGTAGAGCAAAGCAAACTTTGTACCACTAGCGAAATGATTCACTCAATCCTAGTTATATGTTGCCTTTCATTCAGCAGAGAGAGAGAGAGGGAGAGAAGCAGATACGCGGACAGATCACGCAAAGGAAGTGGTATAAGGAAAGGCGGATAGTTTGGCAAATTCTGACGACTACCGCCTACGACACAACCCCTTCCCACCCTTCTCCGCCCTTACACACAACACACAGACGAGTATAAAGCGTCGATTAACCGTAAAAGTCACACTCCGGTCATCGCGCTTCCTTTCTGCAGTGTCAGTTCATCCTAAAGCCTGGCATGGAGCATAGCAGCACAATGCCTGATAAAATACCGTCGTCGCCATCCCGTCCAGCAGAAAGCAGAGAAGCTGACAACGCATGCTTTTGTACCAAGAACAATCAGCAGAATGGACATATTACTGATGTGATTAATTTTCGCTGCCAAAGTAGTGTTTCGCCGTTTATTATTTCGCGGGCTGTGAAATATGGATTTACCGTGGACGATATCTGCAAAGGTATAGCCAGTTTCCGGAAGATGAACACCCCCGGAACCGAAATTTCTTTATATAGCCTAATGAGCCATTTGGAGGCAGATAAGATGCAGATGGCCAATATTAAGCGTCGATTTTGTAATTTGTTCTGCTCCCGTTGTGACACAACTACACCGCACCGATCTGGAGCACGAGACAGAATGCTGTATAATGTGCTGCATTTTGTTGAGCACACCGTTTCTCGAACCGGCTATAGCACGGAATATTTTGAATGCATGGAATGCGCCCTTAAATATTGCGTTTTTCTGTGAAGAATTATATATGTATACGTATATGAGAATGCGTGTACCGTGGTCTACGGCATTAAATACGCGAGTAAGTGCGAAAGGTGTTGTTCGTTAATACAAAATCAAAATTTAATAATCATCAATCCGCTCTCACGACACTGCCAGTCGCTCCAATACAACAACAAAAACAAAAACGAAATCGAATACTTGAATCAGACGCTTCCCAGTCAACAAATGCTTACATGTCATTGTGCAATGGATATGAGTAAAAATGCCCGTTCAATGCAAGCCGCTAAATTATTGGTTTAAACAAAAATATTTTTTCTTGTCGTATCGCAGCAGTGTTTAAACAGAGAGTTGTGAGAAAAACAGTCGGTCATTATCACTAAAATATATGTGAGCAAAAAGCCTTCCCCGGCATGTCCACTTGAAAAATTCACGGTGGTGTCATCACAAGATGCTCTAGGAGGAACGCTTACTACGAGTAGTTGTAGTAGTAGTGGTAGTAGTGGTAGCAACACGTCTCTTGAGAGGTGGTGGGTGTGGTCCACTGGCCCCCGCTGCGGCAGGGCGCTTCGTCCGTCCGAGAGGCGGCGCGGGAATGCTGGTACTCGGCAGGTAGAACAGGGAATGCTTCTCCTGTTTGGGCACACATGCCATGTAGTGCAGTCTGGTGTAGAGCACGCGTGCGGGCGGATACGTTGCACTAGTTGGTGTGTGGAGGGGGTGATACAGGAAATGCTTCTTACCCAACCTCTTTTCACGGGCGATTAAGGCAGCAACCTGCATAGGAACGACAAATGTGGTAAGCGATCGACTAACTACAAACTTGCACAACGTTTACCTCATCGCTGGACAAATCTTTCCAATTTTCCGGCTGATTGTGATCAAAGAATCCTTGGTAGGAACAGATGGGACGGTGTAGGGCTGTCGCCAGGGCCATCAAATGGATACCGCATCCGTAGGATTCCAAACCCACAGTCGGGGCAGTCACAGCAGTCTGATACACGACTTCAAGCAGACCGAGATGGTTTTCTGGCACTTGGGACTGCAAGTGTGGCAGGAAGTCGTGATAGCGCGAAGCCAGAATATCAATTGCCGCCAGGCGTAAATGCAGATGAAATCTACCGTCCAGAAAGACCGCCATGGACACTGCATGGAAAAAGCAGTGGCCGTCGCTAGGAACGTTGTAAATGCTGAAGTGCTCTTGGAAGGCCGCGTAAAAGGTGTCGCTGAGTGTGGTGTCCGAATTTGTCGTACCATCGAGGCAACGGATAGCGGGAATTCGGATAAAGTCACGAAGGTGTCGAAGGAGATCAGTATGTTCGGCCAGCATCTGAAGCCGAGCACAAAGGCACAGGCGTAATATACCGCGCTCACAGCCACACGACAAAAAGCCATTCTTTCTTACCTTTTTCAATGCCGACAAACCCGTGGAATTCTTTGGGTGGCGAAACTTCGAATCTTCCAGGAGCCCGCGAACGGTATCCAACAGGCATTTTACCTGCGTATCGTCTGGCGGTTGACAAATCTGCATGCGAAGAGGTATTCATGAAGCACAAAAAAAATATTTTGTCTTTGCAGCCGGTATTCTTTCCTTACCCAGACGGTTTTGTTATCGCATTCAGTGATCTGAAAACGGTTGCGATCGTATGAATAATAGTCCTTCCACAACCGGAAAATCGCATCGGCTTGTTCGATCGTCAGTTCAAGCTTCAGCTGTGGTGCGCGATTTTCGGAGGATTTTGGAAGATATTCTTCAATAAGCTGCCCGTTGACCGAAAGTTCAATTCCCGCTCCGTCGACCTTCACTTCTAACTCGTACACTGTCCGGCCCTCCTGTAGGTAACCGAAGCTTTGAACAGTGGCCAGGGCTGAGTTAGCGTCGGGAAAGGCGACCACTTTGACGATTTCCGGCCACACACTGCGAACTGGTACGAGGAAGAATTTTCCAACAAATGCCGGTCGGGCAATTTTCTGCAGAGTTTAGGAATTTTGTAACAAAAGCAACGAGACCAAAGAGGTAGGTCTAACTAACTAACTAACTAACTTACCAAAAGGCTGGCGTTGAGATGGACGATGGCTTCCACCTTCCGCGCCGTATGCTCCAGAATCTCGACGCATTCTCTTGCTTTAACGCGCGCAGGCGGTGTAGCGTCCGTGAATGGCCGCGCAATGGAATTCGGCATCCGGCGACCAAGCCGTTTGAGCATCAGACGATGGCGCGCCGTTGTCTGTCCGAGCAGCATTCAATATTATTTATGCGCCCGTGCCAAAACTTTGACAATATATATTTTTACCGGGTTCGAATCGTCGTCGTCGTCCAAAATTATAACATCTGGATCGTCGGCATGGGAAGCAGAAGAGGAAGAAGCAGCCGGTACGGATTCCGGATCGGCAGTGGTTGCGGCCGGTGCTGGCTTTACCGGCTTCTGCCTTTTCTGTCGATATCAAAAATATTTAGCCTAAGAAACTAACCGATACATACAGGCGTCCGGAAATGTGCAGTGCAAAGCCTTACCGCGGCTCCACCGTTGGTCTTGCCTTTCCCCTTTCCCCGGCCCTTACCCCGCTGCGATGGGCCACCATTTGGAACGTAATCCTCATCGCTTTCGTCGTCGGATTCCAAAGCCTCGGCCTTCGGTTTGGTATCCGGCTCTTTGGTGGCTTCTTTGGCCGATTTACTCTTAGCCGGCTCTGCTGCGGTGGCGGATTCCTTGACGGCGACTGCGGCTCTGGTAACCCTTTTTGTCCTCACCGACCGGCAATTCCGGAGTTTTTGCGGTGCGTCCGGATTTCGGTTCGGCATCGGCCGTTGGATCGGAAACGCTCAGGCTGATGGGGGGGCTGTTGGTGGAGTTCATGGTTCCCGCATCGCTGACCGGCTTCTGCTTCGCCGCCCCAGCTGCCCCGACAGTGTCCGTCTCGACCGGCTTTACCGCTTCCTCCGTGATGTTGGACCTGTCGGCAAAGGCGGCCGCGGGGTTGGCGGATAAGTCCGAATCGACCGGCAAATTGCGGCTAGTGCTGTCCATGGCTCCCTGATTGGGAACGACGGTGGTGGTCATACTCAAACCAGTGGAACTGTCCCGGGCTTCTGGCTCGCCGAGCGGCTTGCCCCCCGACACATCCAATCGGACAAGGTCCACGGTGGTCGGGTGGCTGGCCGGTGCATTTCCAGTGTCAATCAGTCGGTCAGATAAAGTGCCCTGGTCGTCCGTCACACTGATTGGAGAAGGGTCGTTCTTTTCCATGGGTTTTGGTGCGATCGGTGGCTCTGGCGGTGGTGCTGCCCCCGTTCCGGTCGGACTCATCATGATGCTGCTAGGCGCCGCAGCATTTGTCGCTGAGTTTGCTGCTTCTACCGTTTCTCGCCTCGATTTCTGCCATTTTGGTACCTACAGACGAGTTTTAATTACGAATAGACAGTCAAGCCAATGCTGATACCGCTGACGACGATGGCAACAATGAAAATCCTGAAATATGTATATTCTTACCCACTGATTCCATTCTTTGACAGCGGAAAACCTTTGCCGGTCGATCTCACGCACCAACAGGCCGACGAGGAAGCTGAAGAAGTCGTACAAGTGTTCTCGCGTTGGAAACATTTTTGAGTACTCCGACGTGTCTCGATCTTTTGGTCGGGTCGGTAGAATCTGGGCAAGTTTTGTGGGAGTGATGTACTCACCCAAGTACCGCTTATGGTAAGTCCCTGTAGCTTCGTCAAATCCCATTTCATGCTTCAGCACGATTGTGTCGAATCCGTACAGCAGCTCCAGCTGCTTGATGCAGGTGTCCGGGATTTGAGCGACCTTCCGCATCGCGCAAAACATTATGGTCAGCCTTTTGTGCTCTGCCCCATTAACGGAATCTTCTTCTTCGTTGAGGAGAATCTGGAAGGCGCTGTATACCTTCACCATTTCCAGGAGAAACATGCGTTTAAACGTCTTCTCCACGTTCGTATCGCGCACTCCCGCGTAAACAGTATGGAGAGATTCCAGGGGGACGTTGGGATGATCCGCAGTAAAGGCCGCGACAACGCTGGTGAAAACCCGCCGCAAAAACAGAATACACTGGAACCCGCTTGGTTTTAAGGTTGGATTCTCATGGTTCAGCGTCTGCTGCACCTGTATTTGTTCCAATTCAGAGTTGCTGGGATTCAGGAGGACAATCACGGAGAAGTACTGAAAATTGAATGGGTGCCGGGTGCTGGCCGAAAGTCGCTGGACGCCGTCAAGCAGCACCACTCCCTGTCTGTCTTCGACAAGCGCCTGCTTAATGTCTTTAGGGTCATCAGTAGAGAAAACCGCTACAAGGAACTGCCAATCCACCCCATTTTCTGTCACCTTCTGCTCACTCATTGCGCACCGCAAGTCGTGAATGAAAATTACACTCTCCGGCCTGACACCCAGCACGTTGAAGTCCAGGCGAATATGCGCAGCAGATATCCGGCCAGAGAAAAGGTACCGCTTGGCCATCACTTCCGGTGCTGTCGGATAGCTCCGCAATATCTCTCGGTCGGCTTCGTTGGTGATTTGGTACATTGTGGGAACCGATAGTGGGAAATCTTCCACGGTCGGATGGTCCGGCCAGTTTTTCTCAATCATGTCCTCCTTGTACTTCCGACCGGTGGCCTGCAGAATTTTCGGCGTCTCCGTGTCGTCGAAGCCGACGGCGCTTTTGGACTTCCGGTCTAATAAAGTATCTTTGTCGTGCTGGCATTGGATATACTTCTTTGGGTCCAAAATTTCCTCGGGAAACTTTTCCGGGTCGGCAACGTTGATGGCCACGGCGAAGTTCGCACCAATCTGTCCACCCCAATGTGGTGTATTTGGTCGCAAAACAAACCCCTGCCCTGGACCTAACATTGCATAGTATACGACTTTCTTCATCTGGCGCAAACGCTGTGCCAGCTTCAGCGGGAACACCGACTTGTGGTGGTGCCCGATTGTAAGCTGGTCGCAAATGTCCTCCGGCTTGTATTTCAGCTCGTTGACGTAGATATCCTTCACCGTTTGCTGGACGGTCGGCCCATCATCCGGATGACAGCAGATCAGGATTTTCTTCACTCCGCACAGGTTAAAGTTGAATGAAGACAGAAGAATATCTTCGCAGTGCAGGCAAAATATCGAGACGCCACCCACAGAGCCGATTAACTCCTCCTGGTTGATTCCTGCTCGTGGCTGGTGAACGCCATGCGTGGCGTCCATCATACGGACGAGACAGACCAGGCCCGACCAGTCGGGCAACTGAAAACACATACACATAACTATTGCATACAGAAACAACAGCACCGGCAGGCACTTCCGGCCACAACTTACATTCGACAACAGCTTCGGGCTCAGGTGGGCGTACTTGGCGTAGACCTTCTTGTCGGTATCCTGAGTAGCTGCCAACTGGGCTACAGCTATGTAGAATTCCTTAATCTCCTGCGGGAAGCCGGAATCGGCCAGGAGTTTCTCCATTTCCGGGCGGACATGTGGAACGAGGTCGTTCAGGGATTCGAATTCTGCGGCGTTGGCGGCGATAAATTCCGTCCAGGACATCCCGGCCAGCGGCTTACGTGTCGCGTCCGTCGAGCGCACTTCAATAATTTCCTCATGGATTCGAGTGACCTTTGACTGTGTATACTGCACATGTCCTTCTCTGACATGCTTCTGAAATTCCGAGCTATCTTCAAGCTCTGAAGGCTTATAAATCAGGTCATCGTTGGTGTCAATCTGCATAGAAGAGAGAAGTGCGACGGTGTTTATTCTCATCATGGCAGTCGGTATATCTCAACTGCGAGCCGAACGACTACTCACCTTGACAGCAAACCAGCCAGGCATGACCAGTTCAAGAAGGCGGATAAGATTGCTGCACTGTGCTCCGCAATTGGCACGCATTATCGGAAACTTAATTACCGGCAATGGTCGGAGATACGGATCGGCATCCCAGCCTTCCTCCGGAGGTACCTTTTCAAAAAACAAAGCCTACTCGTTTACAATACCAGCTACACAGCTGCAGCTACTGATGCGCGCCTTACAATCATTTGTTCACGTAGAGTGCGGACCTCTTCCGGTGGCAATAGGGGCCGGCATAGGTGCCGTGGTGGCGCGCCGGTAGATGCTGCTGCTACCTCGGGCGCTGGCGCCTCATCCACCGTCATCGGCTCTTCAGGCGGCGCCGTCGGCTGCGCCGAAGTTGGTATGGGATCGGTTACGAGAGACAACTGAAACACCGGCTCTTCGGTCGGGCTGCCGGATTCGTGGTCGTTGATCGCACAAGCCTCGCCAGCCTGCACAGTGAAAGATGGCGCAGAGCGAACGTCAACGGCGCGGTCGGTAACAGTGGAGGAAGAAGCCGCGATGCAGTCACCGTCGACAGCAGCGTCGGCGATATCATCATCATCATCATCATCATCATTATCATCATCGGCTATGACCAGTCGGTCGGGTAGTAGCTGGTCGGTCTACAAAAATAGGTGCCCATTAAATATGCAACTAACTATGGGAACGGGCCGCAACGCCGGTACATCGTCGGATGTGTTCTCGAGAGTTGGCCCCGCTGTGGTGGTTGTGGACTCCTCCTCGAGCGCCGCAGATGCCGCCGGCATTATCGGAGAGCCAGTAGTATCAGCTTGACAGTGGAAGGTGGACGCGCTCTCCTCGCTGCTGTGGTCGGGCGACGCTTGTGGTAATGGCGAGTGCGGCATTGCGGAAGTGTCGTTAACAGCGGAAGTAGCCGCGGCAGCAGCAACGCTTCCTACGGCTGCACCCCTCTGCAGTGAACCAAGCTACTTGAGAACTTTAATATGTAGTTGCATAGCTTTTCTTAAAGTAATAAGCCGTTGAAACTGATGCTACACACTACCGGCGGGTTTGATGACGTGGCTGGCGGGAAATTAGCAATGGTTGCGCGATCCAGGCAATCCAAAGCTTCTTGAAATTCGGATTCTCTCATCGTAGAACCACCCAACGGAATGCAGAAAGTTCTTCCAGCTGCATCAGCTAGCGCTTGCTCATGGTCTCGTTGAAGGCTTACTGCGCGCTTCCACGACATTTCTAATACGGAACGTCATCTGGCTTAGTATGAGTATGAATGAATGAAACAATACTGAATTTAATTGGCGCACACCATTATCAGGGCATTACCTTAATATTATTGTTTAGCTGCTACGACTGCTTGTACTGCTTCCAGTTGTACTGCTACCAGTTGTAAGTTGTACTGCTACCACTACTGACAAAATGTATGCCGGTACCGATACTCGCAGTTATCGTTATTTTTCTTTCTTATGTTAACTACCCTCACGAGAATACCGCAGCCATAACAATACGTTTTCCAGTCCCCAACAACAGTGTTAAATGGAACAAAGCTATAAGTAATCATAACAACTACACAGCCATAACTATCCGCACTACTACTAGTAACAGAAAAAAATGTCGTTTAACAGAAAAGAAACACATGTAGCCAATCCACACTACTGCCGTTTCCCCCGCAGATATCTGTCGATATCACCATTCGGTGCCAGCCACTCTCGCGCCAAACGGACGTTCCGGCAGAAGGTTGGGTCGGCCGCCCACTCCGCACGCCGCTTCACCCGCCGCTTGCCATTACTCCGCTTATTGCGCGCCTGCCTAGCAGCCTCCTTGGCTTCCTCGACCGCCTTGGCACGTTTCTGCTGCTCCAGATCTGCTCGAATTCCCCGCAAGTCACTCAACTCCCGCGTCACCTGCCGATGCAGGCTGTGCAGCTGGACTTTTGTGCCTCGACTTCGGCGTAGAGGTCTGCCTTCATCTGGCCAAACGACACACCCGCCTCCTCCTGACATCGGCGCTCATGGGCGGCGCCTTGAGTCCGCGCGGTATCCAGTCCGGCCGCCAGGGCGCTGATCTTATCACGGTCCTGCTTCACGGCCAGCTCGGCGGCGCTTCGGCGCTCTGTACAACAGAAAACAGGTTAAGAATTTGTATTGGATGATTTGTACATAAATGCGCAAAGGTCAAACAGTTACACGCTTAATATGTGTTTCCTATACACATCTACACGTTGGCTTGGTACGTACGTACCATCGTCCGCAATCTCAACCGCCCGCGACACTTCAGCGTGAAAAGTTGTGTACATGGATGGGCTGTGAGCCCAATGCAGACCGTCCTTCCGAAGCACAACATCATCAGGGGCCAACTGGATGAACTTCCAGATAGTGCGGTATATGCGGGTGGCGCGATGGCAGAAATTATCCAGCATGTCATTCATGGCGGCCACAGCGTCCATGCATGCGTCGAGGCTGCGCTCGCGGGACCGTGGGGGCGCGGTATGATGGCGGTGGTGGCCATGCTGGTCCTGTTCGTGATGACGGGATCGGCGGTCCACTTCCTGAAACGGCAGGCTGACGATGAAGATCTCATCGAACCACTTCTCCATCGCATCCCGGCAGCTGGAGAGGCTGTACTTCGCCCCCTCCACATCGCGAGCCGCCGATCCACACGCGCCGTCCCGCCAGAAGGACTGAAGGTTATTGGTACCGGCCACCAAAACCAGGCGCTTCTTCGGCTACCCTGACGGCCGGGCAATCCAGTCCTTGGACGGCCGGACGTCCTGGCCACGGCCGCCGTCATCGCGGTGTCGGCGGCTACCACTGCTGTTGCTGCTCGAAGACTGGTGGTGGTGGCGGTCGTGGCCATGGTGGCCATACACATCGCGGAACCACTGTGCCACATTGTCCAGCACGCCGCCCATGCTCGCGCCGCTCTGCGACACTACGCAGATCTGCCCATCCTGCAGGCTGGTGAAGATGCGGCCAGGACGGGTGTCGGGGTGGCGGAAGCCGCGTAGATCTTCCTGCGGCTGAGTGTTGGAGTTCCGGTCCGCACAGAGCAGGACGGGTGGCCCCTGCGAGTCTGTGGCGAAGACGGTACGCGCGTCACGCAGGTTAGCCACACGGTCCACCTTGGCCGGCTTCTTGTTGTCGCGCGGCAGTAGCTGGTAGAACGGCGGTCGGTGATCTCCGGGTGGCATGGCGGGCGTGGAGGGCGAAGACGACGGGGATGCCATACTGCTCTGCAAGGCAACGGTTAGCACATAAAACGCGGTAAAGGTAAAGAACCGTACCAGTACAGTGCAGATGACAATACTAATAGCGACGACGACAAGTCAGTTGCTTGCACCAGCTGGGATTGCAATGTGAAGCTGTATCTAGTATTGCATGCTAGATACTATACTATCCAGCTGGCTGGATATTACATTGCATACTAGATACTGTACTTGCTGTCAATAATACACAGTAAGACACCACGATACAATCGTGTGTGTACCGGTACAGTATCAATCTGCGGCTTATCTATACATTCATACAATCTTACCGTCAAAAAGCGTAATTCCGTGGGTTATTATGGAAAAATCAACGCGTGGTCAGTTTAAGTCCAGCTTAGTCTTGAAATGAATCTTATTTTCCATAGGTATTTACGCTGAATTTTATTTGTCCCTAGAACTGCCAGGTTTGAAAACTCTCTTACTCGTTTTAAGTATAGGAAAGCCTGAATCTCTATGGATTAGAATACGAGGTCATCCAGAAATTTTGTAAGGACCATAGCAAGAAGTGAGGGGCGGAAAAAATTTACGGTACCTTACATTCAACATACTTAGAATGTTAACCACCATGGGGGACGGGTGAGATTTTGACCTTAAATAGTCTTCCTGAGATTTCGGGACGATCCAGACAAAGTATAACTTTACTTAAGTGCTTACAGTACTTGAGAAGCCTGACAACAACATTGCCTAGAACTCTGTAATTTAAGTAAGTATGACATTTAAAGTAAGGACAACTGTAACCATGGATCTGGGACAATATGCATTATTGCAGTTTGTACTGTACGTCGAGTGTACGCTGATTGATTTTTGCGATAGCATAATAATCAGTGAGTGACTGTCCCGTGAGCAAAATCTCTAGATGAGTAAGTGAACGAGCTACCACCACTGTTCCGTGAGAAAAATTTGTAGGCGAGTAAGTAACCGAGCTACCACCACTGTCCCGTGAGCAGAATCTGTAGTGGGTGAGTGGCCGAGGTACCATGACTCATGAGCAAAATCTCTAGAGTGAGTGAAACAGCTACCACCACTGTCCCGACCGAGTTACCAAGTACCGTGAGCAAAACCTGTAGGTGAGTAAGTGACCGAGCAACCACCACTGTCCACTACCACGCCTACTGTCGTAGACACTACTGCCATATCTCGTAACAGTCCATAAATTCAAGCCTGACCTTTCCAATATACATTTGCCGAGCGCGGAGGGCGAGGCTTACCTTGTATAGATATAATGAGTTGTCGTCGTCGCTGCACTATAATGCACCACGATGAAAACGTGCCTGTATTATTTTCCAACTGTTGCTACTGTATCACACGCCCACCACCTGTATTGTGTAGATTTGTTATTTAAATGCAATACGGTTAATAATTCTTTGCACCACAGTGCAAACTATGTTTTCATTAGTACTGCAATCTTCAGTATTTCCAGTGACACTGTGCATTATAATGCACCGTACTTTATCATGACGCAACCGTTTTTGTATCAGTACGGTGCAGATCTGCAAAGCAGACAAGAATTGAAAAGCTGTCGTCGTCGCATGTTTACCATAATGCAATGCATTTTAAAAAATGTAAAAATGAGAAATCTCCACTAATTAGTCCTTTGTTATGCTAAGACCAGTCCACTAACACCGATTACCTAGCCGGTGCCGTGTCAGGGGGTTGGGGTTCTGGGAGGGTTAGGTTTGGGCACCCAGATTAACAGCAGGATTGCTGCTTGTACGGACACTATGTTGCGGCACCCCTACTATTTCACCAGGAAGGGCTGCTGCTGCATTGGCAACTAGCACTGTGGTGTGGTTTGATCGGCCATTGGATGGTGTCGACTCGGGAACTATGTTGTCAATATGAAGCGGGAGCGATCTCACAGTGTGGAAGGAACTGGAAGCTGAAAGTCCGGTGCCGGTATACCCATAGGCTCTTTGGGATCGGCGACTGCGACTGGAGAAATATTCTGGACACGAATTGGTTCGACGGGTCGGTAGTGGTCTTTGCGCTCACTACTTGGAGCGATTTGTATGGATTGCCCATTCGATACCGGCAAGTAATTAATCAGCGGGGTGAAAGCGTGGGTTGGGTGTGGCCCTGCAAATCGTTCATTCATTGGTAAGCGGCCATGAGATGAATTACTTGACGGTATGATGGCATGCATCAAGCATTTCAAAGTCTGATCCGTTCTCATCATATGACTAAAGACAATATAATCGAAGCTATTAAATTTTGACAAACGTAAAACATACTCTTTCGGGTTATGTATACGTATACCATACATTTAAACTGCAAAAGATAAAGTACTGCTTTAAAGTACAAAGTACTGCTTTTTAAAGTACTGCTTTATCTACAAATTAATGCAATACTTTGCAGGTCAAAATGTGAATGAAAAAATGTACTGCTATACTTTCAAATGCCCCAGCACTTAATCGTCAGTTTCGGCCTGTTCGGGGATGTTCGAAGGTGACCTTGTTACTGAAAGTAATACAATACTTTAAAGTATTGCATTACTTTCGAAGTACTGCCATACTTTCAAATGCCTCAGCAATTAATCGTCAGTTTCGGCGTGTTCGGGAATGTTCGGGAAAGTCACCTTGGTACTGAAAGTAATGCAGTAATTTCAAAGTATTGCATTACTTTCGAAGTACCGCTGTACTTTCAAATGCCCTAGCACTTAATCGTCAGTTTCGCCCTGTCTGGGGATGTTCGAAGGTCACCTTGGTACTGAAAGTAATGCAGTACTTTAAAGTATTGCTCTACTTTCGAAGTACTGCCGTACTTTCAAATGCCCCAGCACTTAATCGTCAGTTTCGGCCTGTTCGGGGATGTTCGGGAAGGTCACATTGGTACTGAAAGTAATGCAGTACTTTTAAAGTATTGCATTACTTTTATTGCTTTTACTGAAGTAACACTGCCATACTTCAAATGCCCCAGCACTTAATCGTCAGTTTGGCCTGTTCGGGGATGTTCGAAGGTGACTTCTTAAAGTAATACAACACTTTCAAAGTATTGCATTACTTTCGAAGTACTGTCGTACTTTCAAATGCCCTAGCACTTAGTCGTCAGTTTAAAAGTATTCCTGTACTTTTAGCATTGCAGTACTTTTAAATTACAGCAATACTTTAAAGTATTATTTTTATAGCATTGCAGTACTTAAAAACGTTTCAGCGCTTGATCTTCTGTTTCGGCTTGTTCGGCGTTGTTCGGGAAGGTCACTTGGCACAGCAGTATAATACTTTGAAAGTTGTACTTTAGTATTGCTGTACTTTCCAAGTACTGCAATAATTTAAAATGCCTACTTTAAAGGCTTTATCGTTTGTTTCGGCTTGTCAAAGTGCAACAGTAACTTTAAAGTGCTTGTTATATCAGATTTTCGAACAACTTGAACGCCGAAAAGACGATCAAGCTGAGGGTTTTTACACTGCTATACTTTTGTGTATTGTTGTACTTTAAAAGCATTGCAATACTTTAAAAGCACAGGATAACTTTCAGAGTATTGCTGTACTTTCAAAGTACTGCAATTTAAAATGCCCCAGCGCCAGATCGTCTGTTTCTGGCTTGTTGGCGTTGTTCGAAGGTCACTTTGGCACAGCATACTTTGAAAGTACTGTTGTACTTTAAAGGTATGTTGTAGTTCCAAAGTGCTGCAATACTTTAAAAGTATTGCTGCACTTTCAAACTACTGCAATACTTTAAAGTGCAGGAATACTTTAAAAGTATTGCTGTAGTTTCAAAGTATTGCAATACTTTAAAAGTACAGGAATACTTTAAAAGTATTGCTGTAGTTTCGTATTGCAATACTTTAAAGTACAGGAATACTTTAAAGTATTGCTGTACTTTCAAAGTGCTGCAATACTTTTAAAATGCCTCAGCACTTGATCGTCCGTTTCGGCTTGTTCGGCGTTGTCCGGAAAGGTCACTTGGCGCAGCAGTACTTTGAAAGAACGGGTGCACTTTAGAAGTATTGCTGAACAGAAAGCCAGCAGTACTGTCTCCAGGCAACACAGTATGCAAAGCAATATGTAAAGCACTTCGATTAACAAGCTGTACCTTATAGACAACAACAACTAAATTAATAATTATAGAAGTACTTAACAGTACAGTAACTACTATAGTACAGTGCCTACGTTAGCGCTCTGCAAAGGTTAACATATTGCAAAATTACTAATGGGAGTGTATATTTAATTAGATAGTATTTGCACGACACAGTATGTGACGTACAAAATTTGGTGTGTAAATGCCAGTATAGTACTTAGCGTTCAGAACGACGACCTCTACACAATAACTGCAAGTTTTGCAACATTAAATTTTGCTGTCAATGACGTGTCAATCGCTGTCAATGGTACCTGCATTCCTGATCACTGTCCACTGCTGTTACCCAGGGCTTGGGTATTACACGCTTGTGCAATCAATACCCAATATCGACCGCACGATGAGAAAGTACCAGTGAACTGCACCAGGGCGCACGGCGAGATGGGGAATTATAAACAATAGGGTAACAATTACAGCACTGCCATAAATAATTAATATTGCACCAATACGGACGGTGCGACGGCAGCGATCAGTCAACAGTGCATTACACGGTACGTCGATAAACAAAGCAATTGGTACTTGACCATAGTACTACAAGTCGGCGACGAGAAAATTGTATGATTTATTAGCACCTAAGTAAGTACACAAACAATGGTACATGCAGCAAAAGTGCACAATGCACATGCATGCACCAATGGTGCAATTGAATGCACCATTGGTACGGATCTTTACTGGTGCCTAAAACGCAATAAGATTACTATTACGGTATGCTATTTGTGTGTGTGTGTGTGTGTGTGTGCGCGCGCGCGTGACTAGATGCCAAACCGCGATAATGATGTGCGACCAATAAATAATTAAAAAGAAACAAAAAATCACCTCCTCAAAATAAAACCAAATCGCGCTTCCCAATTTACCAGACAACTGCAAGTAATATCAGCTTTATCGTTAACACGGCTGCTATTATTCCGCTGCGGCCCAATAATTGAAAAATACGAGTTAAATTATATAAAGATAAATAATACATATGCATTAATATTCACGTGATAAGTTTAAAGTCGGTTTACTTAAGAACACGCACGATACAATAATAATATTATAGAAGCTGATAAACGAGTGGGTATTGTGAATATTATTTGCTTAACTAAGATTACAGAAAAAACTAATACAAAGGTGAACATTTAATTAAATTATACACAATTGCTTCGTATAATTACACTTCAGAAAGTAAAATATTTGTTGATCTATATAAGTACGGCCGGCAGGAATAAATAAAAATATAATATGTGTGTGTACCTGTTGTTTACCCTGCTAGAATCTAACCGATCCTTGCAGCTGCGACAGACTAGAACTTTTTAGTCCTTGTCGTTGTCGCTAACGGTCAGTGCTAGAACTTAAAAGTCCTTGCAGTCTGAACCGGCTCCGGGATGGACGGCGCAGGTGGACACAGGCAGGAGCGCGCGCGCGAGCGGGGGATGTGCGCGGAATGGCAGCGCCGGTAGGAGGGAAGGAGACTGGGAAGCGGACAGTCTGTCTGCGTCTGTACCGGTGGGAGGCGGGCGGGCAGGCGGGGAGAGGATGAAAGGCGCGTGTGGGAATTCACGGGCGGACGGGGAGGCAACGGTTCCACATACACGGTCGCCAGGGGCGGAGTCAGGCGCGAGGATGAAGTGCGCCTGTGGGAACTCACGGGTGGACAGGCCGACAACGGCTCCACACACACACACGGTCGCCTGGGGCGGAGGACACGGCAGCTACGGTGGACATTTAAAACAATTTAAAAATTTAATAATTATTGTAATAACAAAGATCAAATAATAATAATAATTAAAATAATAATAATAACAAGAGATGACAAATAATAATGATAATTAATTAAAATTTGGTAACAAAATATCCGTAAAAAATAGAAAACGATGCGGTGCAATGACTTACTAGAGTACTGTTTCCAGAGAATCCAATGAGGGAAAACAGGGATCGTCTAGGTTCAGGGTGCGGCGATGGGACTCAGTTGGGACAGAAGGCAGTCACAAAACCACTGCTTAGTCGGTGCACGAAAGGGAACGAACGAGGAGAAGACGACCTGCAACGCAGTCAACACGCTCAACAATGATAGGCGCAAACAGATCGCAGCGTTAGGTCGCAGCGTACGTCAGCAACACCAGCAGCGGCTCGTCACTCGTACAGTTGCTAGACTGCTGCGGATCGCTGGTGCGTTAGCGCCAGTTAGTCGAGCAGCTCGTTGTTAAGGGCTAAGTGGCGGCCAACGGGGCACTTACCTGTGCAGAAGGCAGTTCACTATGACAAACGCAGCATAACTGTGTTAGTAGCGGAAAAATATCAAAACACAACCATCACTCCCTTTCCACTCTTCTTCACCATACACGCAGATAATCAGGTATTACCATAAATCACCATACATCCTAAATTTAATCAGGTTTTACCAAAAACGAAACCCACTTTTGCAGTGTCGTAGTTACATCGCGGAACCCCAGACGTTGGCTGCAAAAATGAAACGGCGAAGAACTCACAGCGCTGCATATGCAGATTATCGCAGCATGGCGTGCTTGTAAGAAACAGAGACAGAGAGGGAGAAGAGAGAGGTGAATGGGAAAGCGTGCGTGTGTGTGTGTGTGCCTGTCTGTTGCTATGACGGCTACGGCCATGCAGCAGCACCGCAATGCCAGCCAGTGTATCGCTGATACACATGCTGTGCGAATCTCAAGGAAATTCGCAGCGCAGCTGCAGCTGTCTGTGCAAGTGAGCACGCGTGCAGCACGGCTGCACGGCTGCGACGCAGTGTATCGCTCATGCATCTGCTGTGCAGACCTCAAGCAGGTTTGCACCCCAGATGCATTCGGTATAGGGGTGTCGCCCCTGGAAGGGGTGTTTCACAGCACACCAGAATGGGTAGTATTCATCACACAGACTTCCACCAAACATGCGCTGACCAGAAAATCCGGACACTTGACGCCGAGGGCGCACTGGACAGCTACAAAAATATGCCAGAAAATTTTACTGGATTACCCAGATGAAGATTGGTTAAACGTTAAATCACGCAGTACATTATTTCATCGCGCTGTTCGCGCAGTACATTATTAAACAAATGATGATCGAGTTTTTCAAGATGGCGGATCGGGGCCGGGGGCGTCCGTAAGGGTGTGCGTGGAGTTTCGAATTCGAACAAAACACATGTGGGAAAATGCGAAATGCGGATGCCGCTTCCCTAAAAGAATTAGAGAGCAAAAGACAGGTTTAATATTAAGCAGAACTTCTGGCGCTCTGTGGTGCTGCGTCTGCATCTTGGGATGTTTCGATGCCTCCTTGTGCACCGCATTACCACAGTCAGTAATACGAATATCAGTGTTGGTGCGCTGAGCTATGAGACTGCCGTTTGGAGCCGGCAGTAGACCATGGACAACAAAGTGCAACGGATAGCCGACGACAGCCAAGCAGCACTGCTTTGCTTACCCGGAACCACTGCGTCTCACTGTTTTTACAGGCTGTTGTGTGATCCGCGTGCCAGTGTCAACCTAAACAAACAGGATGCTGTCCGGTTTTAAATCGGTTTGGGTGTAGGTTCGGTTCGTATATACAGTGGACGCCTTTGATATGTTGCGCATCGGTGTGACGAATTCCTTCCACTGAGAAGGTCGTTGCTTAAGGGTAGCGTAGAGTCTGGGGTCTAATTCAGGGAAAACGAGACAGTAGTAGCCATTCCACTGGAAGTGCGCTAGCAGCTGCACACAGTCAGATTGCCTATGAGCGTTATGCCTCTGGATTGCATCGCTGAAATAGCAGCGCGGCCAAGCATGAAGAACAGACTTCCGCTGATTTCCCTTTCCCCGTTCCGCGATGTACTTGCGGAACTTTTCAAGCTCAGAACCGATCTCGGCCGCGTGGCCATAACGGCATTTAACCGATTCCGCAAATACCGGAATCCACGCCGGAGCAGTGATGGGCGTGGTTGCGTTAAAGCCGAATCCAGAGTTAATTCCACTGTGGTACGCCCTGTAGCTGTTCTATAGCATCAAGTTTCGGTGTGATTTACTTTTTGCATGCGTTAAGTTACTGCGCTTAATAATCACTGTTATGAGCAGCTCATATTAATTAGGTACTCTAATATTAAACTGAAATAACGGATCTGGCACATAAGACGCAGGTACCCAACACTCATGATTATTTTGCTCATGGTCAAAATACTCCAACATAAGAAACACTCGTCTGCAAACTCCGAAAAATCCACGATTCCCAGTGGCGGCCCGGCTGGATAGACCAACGCGTTAGCCCACTCTAAAAACAAGAAACCTTTTTCCTTTTTTTACAAATTACTACCGATTGTTACCTTTTTTGTTACACACTCGGATTGTCATACAAACTAGCTTTATAGCGAGAAAATTACACCCTTCGCGTATAATGAGCGGCGGTCCATTTACTGTGGAACACGCCGAAACCAGCAGCCGCTGTTAAGCGCTGATGGAGATCCTTTGGCGTCTGATTCTCAGGATTCTGGACCAACGTAAAGCCTTGATCGCCTTCGCTGGTAAAAATCACTGGCATGTCGTGCATATTAAGGGAAGTGGGCCGGTACATAGTACCAAATTCGTGTACAGGCACGAAAACTTCCACTCGCGCACTCCTTAAACACATTTTGTTTCGGTTTGTGACATTCTATGTGAAGATCTGTATACACTGGCGTGAAAAGCGTTTAGCGCAACCGGTTCGGGAGTTATGGCTGTTAGAAAATTCCAAAAGTTTAAATGCGTTCAGGTGTGTAAAAGTCTCATTATCGATCTCCTCAAATTTGCACGTAAATGCACATAACCACGAAGATCGTTTTTACACCGATCCACTGCTCTAGCATGTTTTTCAAATTTTAAAATGAATTTCAAAAACTTTAAAATTCATTTTAAAATTTGAAAAAAAATCTTGGAAGTCTGGATCGGTGTAAAAACGATCTTCATAGACATGCGCATTTATATGCAAAATTTGAGGGAGATCGGTCCATAATGAGACTTTTGGTACACCGGAATGCATTTAAAGTTTTGGAATTTTCTAACAACCATAGCTCCCGAACCGGATGTTGCGCGCACAAACGCTTTTCACGCCAGTGTATACAAACCTTCTGGCTGTAGAATGTCATAAACCGAAACAAAAATGTGTTTGGGAGGGCGCGAAAGTTTTCGTGCATGTATACGAATTTGGTACCATGTACCGGCCCACTTCCCTTAAGAGAAAATATCTCTAATAAACACGAAGAAAACCTGGACAACATCTGAATATGTCTTGCTACGTGCAAAACGAATAATTAGCTTTGCGCGTTTCCGCGAGCACGCGTCGAGAGCCGTCGCCAGCGTGGAGGTTGAGAAACGACTGTCCGGCCAAGATGTACTAATTGAATTACGGTATTCTGCACTGAAATATTCAAGGAACTTACTGGTTGCAAAAAAAGATTGTCCTAAAAAGCCTTTTTTATCCCTAAAAAGCCTTTTTTTTAAAAAGCCTTTTTTATCCCTTAGCCTTTTTTAGCCTTTTATCTCTTGTTGAGGAGCTTTTAGTGGTTAGTTGTGAGCACTTGGTACGTGCATAAGGCACTTTATTTTGCGTCAGTAACTCTTAAAGACACACCGGCACTTTACAGATTGTTCACAGCACGACATGTACAGATATCTACGGCAGTGATATTTGAACGATGAATATGCAGTTTCTGATCTGCCGTTCGTGTTGAAGGCAAGTATTTATTTGGGCATTATTATGTACACTAAATAAAATCGCATAATTGTAGTGCACGTCCTTCAGTTTGCATCCACGCAGATTACACTGTGTATGTCGTATGACCTGTTCAATATTCAATATTCAATATTCAAGGAACTTACAAGTTGTCTGAAGAAGATTTTTTACCTCTTGTAGAGGGGCTTTTAGTGGTTAGTTGTGAGCACTTTGTAAATGCTTAAGGCACCTTATTTGGCTTCAATAACGCTTAAAACACACCGGCACTTGCATGATTGTTCACAGCGCAACATGTACAGATACCTACTGCAGTGATGTCTGAACGATAAATATGCAGTTTCTGTTCTGCCATTCATGTTGAAGGCAAGTATTTTTTGGGCATTATTACAATAACTAAACTCGTATAGTTGTAGTGCAAGTTAACATGTAAGTAGATTACACTCTGTATGTCCTAAGCTGTCGGATCTTTTCCACCACAGCCTCTTTCAGCTTTTCCAACATTGTACGTGCAGTGCGTTATCAGACGACAAGGAAGAATGTAGCTTATATCTCTTGCGCTACCTCAACGTGTAAACTGTTTAATGGTGACCTTTGGTACATTGCATTGGCACTAACAGAGCGTGGAAGCTATTCCGTATTTGGCAGCGTTTCGTTCAGCGGTTTTCCTGAACGTTCGCATGCCGGGTACGGAGTGGTTCCGCTACAATGAAACCGGGTCGTCTGCAGTACATATTTGTAATTTGCTATCGGAAACCAGCCTTTGAAAGCGTGAGAATACAGTGTGATCAGTTTCACAACAAGGACACTTAATAAAACCGAGCAATGTTGCTAACGCACGCATAATTTTTCAATGTCACTTTTGCTGCATGAACTTCAGCCTTCAATCTCAGAATTTCGTACCTCATAAGTGTGTATTGCTTGTGATTGCTTACTATTCAGTGAACACGAATATTATTTTCTCCCGATAGTGCATTGGTTCGTAAGGCCAAAAGTGAAGTACTTCAGCCTACTAGGAATAATATCGTTGTAATCTTACTATAAAAAGAATGAAAAAGATTTTTATTTTGTTATAACAAACCGGAAATTATGAGCGTATCACATAATTTACCAATAAAACACGCGACTGTATTTCTTCTGGATGAGTACGACCTGCGCCGATGGCCGTAAGCCAACGACCCGCCTAGCTAAACTAAGGCGGAAATTTATTATCCTAATTAATTTGATACGAAAACATTAGCCCTTTACTAGAGAAACTCAAAGGCACCTGATCATTGTAATAAGTAGTTTCATTAGCTTTCAGCAACTATTTTACCTGCATACGATTCTGCAATTGCGACTTGCGTGCGTTACTGTTACATTTCAAAATACTGTAGTTAAACTGTAATGGAAAGATGAAATACTCGTATTTTGTTGCCTAGTCGGAATACTCGTATGCAAACTGAAGTCCATTTATGCATGAAAACGAAATTATTATTATTATTTGTGTTTCAAGTGCAAAATGTGCGTACTCAGTTAGGTTATACGGGAAAACCAGTTCGATTTCAGTCATCTTCGCCCCGATTTGTTGACTAGCAACAGGAAGTACTTACAGTGTACATCAGTACATTTATAAAAGGGGCCGAGAGTTACGCAGGCAAGGAATCCCTGTACTTGCTGTCGTCAGCCGGTTGCTGTGTGACGTTACGGCAGTACACATGGTTAAGTCAGGCGCGGTACATAAGCAGCATGTTTAGCCCCCACGTAAAGCACCGACCGGCTGACGACAGTCAATACAGGGAGTGCTGGCCCTGTTGCCCATGAAACTGGGAGCCGCTTTTATATACGCAGCAGCCCAAACTCGACACCGTTTATATTTCCGTTGAGGCGTTTACCGCAATCATATTCACCAGCTTTGTGCAC